GAAATTAAATAAGTTTAACGACAATCCAAAAAAATTTTATTTTCTTCAAAATCCAAACAAAACTGAATAACAACACTACTATTGTTTTTTTCAAAATTTAGAAATACTAAAGTTACAGGACAAGATATTAAGTGGGCCCTAAAGAGGGCCATAAACTCAGACATAAGTAATTATTGGCCCAAAAGTCAACAAAACTTTTATTTCCCTCAAAATTCAGAAATTTGTGCAAAAGTTACAGTGCTGGACATTAATGTGACTTAAATGGGCCCTGAATAAGGCCATAAAATTAGACATAAGTAATTACTGGTCCAGAAATTAAATAAGTTTAACAACATTCCATAAATTCTTATTTTCTTCAAAATCCAAACAAAACTGAATAACAACACTACTATTGTTTTTTTCAAAATTTAGAAATACTAAAGTTACAGGACAAGATATTAAGTGGGCCCTAAAGAGGGCCATAAACTCGTACATAAGTAATTACTGTCCCAAAAGTCAACAAAACTTTCATTTCCCTCAAAATTTAGAAATTTGTTCTAAAATTACACGCAGGACATTAATGTGATTTAAATGGGCCCTGAATAAGGCCATAAAATTAGACATAAGTAATTACTGGTCCAGAAATTAAATAAGTTTAACAACATTCCAAAAATTCTTATTTTCTTCAAAATCCAAACAAAACTGAATAACAACTTTACAATTGTTTTTGTCAAAATTTAGAAATACTAAATGTACTCGGCAGGATATTAAGTGGGCCCTAAATAGGGCCAAAAACTTAGACAAAAGAAATTACTGGCCCAAAAGTCAACAAAACTTTTATTTCTCTCAAAATTTAGAGATTTGTTCTAAAATTACGACGTAGGACATTAATGTGTTTAAATGGGCCCTAAATAAGGCCATAAATTTAGGCACAAGTAATTACTGGGCCATAAATTAAATAAGTTTAACAACAATCCAAAATTTCTTATTTTATTCGAAATTTAAAGATATTTTTAAAATTACAGGTCAGGATATCAATGTGACCCATATTGGCCCTAAGCAGGGCCATGAATTCAGACATAGGTGAGTACCGACCCAAATATAAATAAAAAACTTTTTTTCTGTAATATAATATATAAATAAAAATAAAAATATAAATAAATAAATACGTAATTTCTAATATTTTTTCTGACTGAAATTAAAAAAATATATTTTTTTTTAATTATTTCTTTAAAATCTGTATTTTTATCTTTCACATCGACTTTTCATCAATTTTCCTCAGCCCCATAGTGGCATTCAAAGAATTATAAATGTAAAAATCGCAAGAAGCTTTTCTTAGGAAAATTCTTCAACGTCTTTGAGTGAAAAAGAGGAAACCGGTTTCTCGGTTATTTATGGTTTCTGAATAATTGTTCCCTCTTTTTGAATAAGGAAATTCCTAAAGAAATTTCCTTTCTCTGTACCAAAAAGGACGACAATGGGGCTATTTTGGGATGAAAGTAATTGCTAATGCTCTTAGGTAATATATATATATATATATATATATATATATATATATATAAATTATTTCCTCGGGCATATAATTTTATATCGATTTAATTCTACTAATGTACATTTAAACACTGTATGTACATTTTAATTCCATGTTGTTTGTTTTATCCAAAGTATAATTATATACATATATATATATATATATATATATATATATATATATATATAATTATTAACGCCTGCAGCAACTTGCCAAAAGTAATTAATATTCTAGAATTATGTAATTAGTTAAATTAGTCGATAGCCCAAACAAAATTTTATTAGTTTAGTAGTTTCTTGTTTGATTTACAAACATTAATGGTAGACAGAGATCTGGGAGTAAAATTGTAATGAGATAATTTCAGAAGCGATTTTAGAGTATACCGAGTTGCTTTAGAGCTTTTGAATGTTAACACAAAAAATAGATCATTTAATTTTGAAAAAGTTATCTGAATATATTGTTTAGGGTTGTTGAACAAATTAAAAAGTTATTGAAGATTTAGTCAAAAAAGGCAGACAAAATTTTATTAATTTAGTAAAGTTTCTTGTTTGATTTACAAACATTAAAGATAGACAGAGCTCTGGGAGTGAAATTGTAAAGAGATAATTTTCGAAGCTATTTTAAAGTATACCGAGTTGCTATAGGGTAAAAGTATATTAACAAAAATTGTTGATAATTTAATATTGAAAAAGTTATCTAAATATATTGTTTAGGGTTGTAGAACAATTTCAAAAGTTATTGACGATTTAGTCAAAAAAGGGAGTACCAAGTTGAAAATAGAGTAATTAAGCATTAAGAATAATTAAGCAGTAAGAATAATTAAGCAGTTTTCAAATGTGATTTTAAAGTGTAGCGAGTTGCTTTAGGCTTTTAAAATATTAACAAAAATCATAGATAATTTGATTTTGTAAAAGTTTTCTAAATACACCATTTAGTATTGTTGAACAATTTAAAAAGTTATTCGAGTTTCAGTGAAAAAAATTATTATTGTTAGATAAAAAATCATGTCGTTTTCCAATGCGTTTTTAAAGTATACCGAGTTACTGTAAAGTCTTAGTATATTAATAAAAATCGTAGATAATTTGATTTTATAAAGCAATATATTCGTCTAAGACCGATTCAACTAATTATAACCCTGTGAAAAGTTATAACACAAACAATCAATCAAATGCAAACTTGGAAATAGACTATTACTTGTTGTAACTTTCTGAAAAAACTCACTTGATGTTTGCAATGAAAACAAAATGTAGGTGTAAGGTTTCAAAGAAAAATGTATCTAGTTTTTACCCTTTTAAGACAATTTTATCAAATTTCATCTCTATAAAAAGTTTTTTTAACAAAAACTAAAAATTTATCGTCACCATCATATCCCATAATATACATACATAGGTAATAGGTATAATTCTTAGAATTCGACTCTAAATTATTCAAATTTTTAGTATATTTTTAAAAATTGTAGAGGATTTAATTTTGTAAAAGTTTTCTGAATACACCATTTTGGGTTGTCAAACAAATTAAAAAGTTATTAGAGCTTTTGTAGAAAAAACACTATTTTTGTTACAATCACGGTGTATAATTTTTTTTGCAGTTCTCTAAATCAATTTTAGAGTATACCGAGTTGCTTTAGGGTAATAAAATATTAACAAAAACTTCAGATAATTTAATATTGTGAAAGTTTTCTTAATACACCATTTAGTGTAGTTGAACAATTTAAAAAGTTATTGAAGCTTTAGTAAACAAAAACACAATTTTTGTTAAGAGCGCGATATATGAAATGAATATGATATATGAAGAATTATGCGCGTTTTCAAATGTGATTTTAGAGTATACCGAGTAGCTATAGGGTTTTAGAATATTAATAAAAATCGTAGATCATTTGATTTTATAAAAGTTTTCTAAATACACCATTTAGTATTGTTGAACAATTTAAAAAGATATTGGAGTTTTTGTAGAAAAAACACTATATTTTATATAAGTGCGGTGCAAGAAAAATTATGTTTTTAAATGCAATTTTAGAGTATACCGAGTTGCTGTAGGGTCTTAAAATATTAACAAAAGTCATAGATAATTTAATAAATAATAAATAATTTGCAAAAGTTGTCTAAATACACCATTTAGTATTGTCAAACAAATTAAAAAGTTATTGAAGCTTTAGTATAAAAAACACTATTTTTGTTATAAGCGCGATGTATGAAAAATTATGCAGTTTTTTAAACCAATTTTAAAGTATACCAAGTTGCTGTATGGTCTTAGTATATTAATACAAATCGTAGATAATTTATTTTATAAAAGTTTACTGAATACACTAGTTTGGGTTGTCGAACAATTTAAAAAGTTATTGAAGATTTAGTTAACAAAGGCACTATTTTTGTTACAAGCATTGAGTATAAATAAATCACGCAGTTTTCTAATGCGGTTTTAAAGTATACCGAGTTGCTTTAGGGTTTTCAAATATTAATAAGAATTGTAGAGAATTTAATTTTATAAAAATTTTCTAAATACACCATTTAGTATTGTTGAACAATTTAAAAAGTTATTTAAGCTTTAGTAAATGAAAACACTATTTTTGTTACAAGAAATTAAACTAAATATATAATTATATTAAGCACAATGTATGAAAAATTATGCCAGTTTTCAAATGTGATTTTAGAGTTTACCGAGTTGCTTTAGGGTATTAAAATATTAATAAAAACCATAGAAAATTTATTTTTGTAAAAGTTATCTGAATACACCATTTAGTATTGTCGAACAAATTAAAAAGTTATTTGAGCTTTTGTAGAAAAAAACACTATTTTTGTTACAATCACGGTGTATAAAATCTTTCGCAGTTTTCTCAATCATTTTTAGAGTATACCGAGTTGCTGTAGGTTTTTAGAATATTAACAAAAATCGTAGATAATTTAATACTGTAAAAGTTTACTGAATATACCATTTAGTATTGTTGAACAATTTAAAAAGTTATTGAAGCTTTAGTAAAAGAAATTTATATTTGTCGTATAAAAAATTATAACGTTTTTCTATGCAATTTTCTATGCATGTTTATACCAAGTTACTGTAGTTTTAGAAAAAAAAAATTCATCAGCTCCCTGTCTATTAATGTTAATATATGAAAAGCAGAGCAGACGTTCCAGGCCACAAAATTTGAATATTCAAAATATGCGGTCGTCTTTTTGGTTTAATGGAAATTACGTCTAGAATTTATTATGACTTAGTCATAAATTAATCATCTTAGAAAACCCACTGTACTATATATAGTATAACTACAATTTATATCGAACCTCATCTCTACAAATTTATAAAATATTCTATTATTTTTTTAAAACTAATTCAAGTTTAACTCTATTAACAAATAGTATGAATGTAATATAATTTTTTACATTTTTGGGTAATATATTTTATATCTTCTAAAATATTTGTCAAAAGTTAATGGAATATTCGAGAAATTTGTTCAGAATTAAATAATTTATTGAGTTATATTTTTTTTACTCACCTCTTAAGCATGTATATAAAATTAAAAAGACAATTCAGCACAGACATCAGCAAATCTGCAAGGCTCAAATTTACAAGAAAATAATTTGTTACTGTCCTCATTCGTCTATGAGCTGAAAAAATGGAAAAAATTAACAAAATATAATAAAAAAATTATTAAAAATATTTTTAAATAAATAAATACACGAAAATGTAATATATAATGTATTAAAAAACTGTGAGCTAATTTTGGATTTATTAAGAACTTGAAAAAACATGACCTAAGAAATGAACTTTAATTTTTATATTTTTATAAAAAAGTTGTTAAATAAATAAATAAATTTTGTAAATAGTATAGTTTATATTAAGACAGCACATTTTAAAATAATTTTTTATATAATTTTTATGATGAAAAAATAATTTTTATATATTTATGTTGAGAAATTTTTGACTAGGAAAAATATTTTTTAACTTGCATGAAAATTTTAATTAAAAAATTATATTTTTTTTTCTTAGGTCGATCTTCAGACATCTATTATCATAATGATAGTCTAAAGAAAAAGATTTTCTTAATTTTTTTCACATAAGATTTTCATTTTCATTTGTCTTAATGCGAAAAATTACTTCAGGTTCATTTAACAGACGAAAACGTTTTTATATGAATTTCTGGACTATTAAGCAATTATCTAATTAGATAAAAGATAAAATCATACGAAAAATAATTATGCAAATACTCAATGTCTATAATTATATATAAGCTTGATATCTAATATTAATTATTAATATTAAAAAAAATATTACATTTTATTTTTGCAACAGCAGTATTTTTTGTATAAAAATTTTGTATGAAGATTGATACGGTTTTAAAACGTTTGTTTTGCTTTAAAGTTAGTGCAAATTTGTACAAAAATTGCTTAAACGTGTTATAATATTTTGACACTAATAGTAGCTAAAAACTGCTCTACCGATCTCAACAAAAAAAAGTTTTTGCGAGTCAACTCGTTGCACGCTTTTTAAAATTTTAGAGCATGACCAGTGCTTTTTGTCACTATTATGCAAATAATTTAAAAACGGCTTGACTGATCTGAACAGAAATTTAATCAGCACAAGTCGACATTCACACCTATCGAATGATGTTGGAATTTTTGAAATCGAAGCACGCATTCAAAATTTGTACTACCACAAACTCTATTTACAGTCTATTTAGCACACGCGTCGAGTGCCTTATGTCACTATTATGTAAATATTTTAAAAACGGCTTGACCGATCTGAATAAAAATTTAACCAGCTCAAGTCAACATTCATACGTATCGAATGGTTTTTAAATTTTTAAAATCGGAGCACGCGTTCAAAATTTACACTCCCTCAAACCCAAAAAGTGCAAAACAGTCTATAGTTGCAACGCTCTCAAAAATGTTGAATACGTCCTAACAAACGAGTGCGTTTTGTTACTATAATGTAAATAATTTAAAAACGGCTTGACAGATCTGAACAAAAATTTAATCAGCACAAGTCAACATCCACACATATCGAATGGTGTTTAAATTTTCAAAATCGGAGCACGCGTTCAAAATTTATGCTCCCCCAAACCCAAAAAGTACAACTTGGTCTATTCATTATAATTTCTTAGAAACCGTTCGGCAGATCTCAACAAAAATTTGTATCCCAGTACTCAACATCTACATGTATGAAATGGCATCAAAATTTTTCCAAAATTTTGGTTTTCTCACCTATAACTATCCACATAACTATGGCGTTTCCTCCGACTGCTATAAAAAGCATGAAACCAAAGGCCGAACTCCAGGCTGCTTGGGCCGAATTCGACATGGCCCAAGGTGGAGGGCCATTGGCCACATCTGTATTTGTGGCAGAAATGTCTAAAAAATCCTTAGACAAGTTGTAGACGTCTGGGTAAAACTGAAAAAAAAATAGAAAATATGAGTAAAATAGTATCTTTTGGTAATACTGTTTTCAAATGCTGGTTTTGATTATACTAAGTTGTTTTAGGTCATTTTGATATAAAAAGCTATTAAGGACTGTTTAATTGGCTACAAATTTTCCATTTTTACATCATTAATATTCGGTTGTCAAATATCTCCCTTCCGCCTTTTTGTATTATAAACCAAGAGCAAAAAAGCGGAAGGGAGATATTTGACAACCTAATATTAAATGCCTTACTCACATTTTTTTCTTTTTTATTACAATTTCAATAAATTTACAAAACAATTAGATATGTACATCAAACCCAAAGAATTAAAACAAGTATTCACGATTTTCCGTTTGATTTTTTGTAACTATTTTGAATTCAAACAAAAGAGTCAAATATGAATAGAGAACATAAATAAATGCCATTAAAAAGCTTAATTATCGATTTTATCAATTTATCAAACCGATGTTATCTTAATTCAACCTAAAAAGTTCGTTATTTTAAATTTTAAAAATTACTAAAAGCCAAAAAAAATACTACTGAAGAGTTTTATTTTTACATATATTTAGTAATGTTGTCAGAAATTATTCCATATTTCTCTCTTTTTATTAAAATGAATAAAAATATGATACTGCATATAATTGAATTGCTATACCTAAAATGATTTACGAGTTACAAACGATTTTATACATAAATGCACTTCAAAAAAGTATGTATGATTACATTTTATTCTTCGACGTCGATTTTATAGTGTACTTATTGCTACTAAAGAATGAAATATCGAATTCGAAGTCGTTTTATTCAAAACTTTCACATCGGAGTGTATAAAAGTGTTCCCTAGGGAATTTTGTAAATTTTATCTAGTTTAACCCTATCTAACTAAAAAGGGGTAGTTCCATATGAAGTTTTTGAGTTATTTGCAAAAACAAAAAAAATGGCCCGAATTTTCTATATTTATTGCTAAAGAAGAAAATATCGAATTCAAAGTCGTTTCATTCAAAACTTTTATATATGAGATTACATTTTACTCTTCAACGTCGAATTTATAGTGTACCGAGTTGTTCTAGAAACTTATGATGAGAAAGAAAATCATAAACTATACAATTTTGTATATATTTTCAAAATATGTCTTTCATATTAATCAAAAATTTAAAAAGTTATAAAGCATCTATTAAACAAACAAATCTGTGGAATAGATAATTACAATATTTATTATTATATATTTATTTATTATTATATACTTATGAGTATACAAAATTAATGTAAAGTATTTTGGAATTATAAAAAAAATCGAGATTACTCTATTTTGTAAAAACTGTCTCTAGAAATAATATCAGAAAATCAGAAATAATCGAATGATTTTAAAGTTAACAATGATATATTTAAAAAATGCATTTATTTTTATGAGTATTATATGTAAGTTCCAAAAAACTTGGTATCAATCCCTAGAAAATCAATTTATTTTTTGCAGGATATAAATATAAAATTATATATATATATATATATGTATATATATATGTATATATATAAAAAAAATCTCCGATATATAATTTATATTTATGTTTTCTTTTATATCCTAAGAAATGGGCAGCATTTTAAAAGGAATCCATAAATTTATTTATATACATTTATATATATATATATATATATATATATATATATATATTTATAAAAAGGAATTCAAAAACAATAAATTTGAGAACAAACACATAAACTTTACATAATTCTTACATTTTTTTATTTCATAAATTTATCTTAACTGTAAAGAAAAAAATGTAAAATTAGCAAAAAAATTAAATTGTTAATTTAGTCCTTTAAATACTCACAATAATAAAAATGTCGACATATTTTTGAATATAGTTAATTAATCATCTGAATTTTAGTGAGTGTTTAAATAAAAAAAAACAGAGTTAAATATATATTTTTTGAAAAAAAAAAATCACTAAAATAAGATTAAAGAGGATTACTCGACAAAATGTCCCCTTATATTTATTCCAAATTTAGAATTATAATTTAAATAACCTAAATAACATAATAAAATCTAAAAACTTCATATAAATACAAATGAATTTAAAATTATACAAACGACTTTCAGAGCACAGAGTTTGGAAAAAATATCAGTTGCAAAAGCCAAAAAGTGTATTTTTACATTAACACATCAAAAAAGTTGATATTCTGAGTTTCTACAAATAAAACTACTTACTGTAGTCACATATTTACCTAAAACATGCTAAAACATAACCTGTCAAAACCATTGGACTTTTGACGTATGAGCCGACTTCCATTGTTTCATTTTAGATTAGACTTCCACGAAAAATTTTGAATTCAATATATAAAGTTTCTACGCGGTTTTGCAATAATTTCTCGCCTTTCCCACAATCTCTGGAGTAACACGAATATTTCAAGACTAAAACTGGCCAAATCGGTTCAGCCGTTTTCGAGTTTTAGCGAATCTAACATAATATCGAGCACTATTTTTATATAAAAGATTATAAATTTTTGGTATTTCTGCAAATAATCGACTTAATCAATAAAATATCTATCTGTATCATATTCAAAACAAATTATTAAATTATTATTAAATACATTTCCTCTTACTAAAGATTTTCATAAGGATTACACCCAAAATTACTCTTTTCGGGAATTACAAAAAATTAATTGCGCCCGCCGTTATGGAAATGATAATTTCATATTTCCTAAAATGGGAAAGGGTTCCAAAAGGTTTGCAAAGGTTCAGAATAGCTTGGATTTTTTTATAAAAATATAAACCTCTCCTTCGGGAAGTTAATAACTGCATTTATTTTTATGAGTATTATATGTAAGTTTCAAAAAACTTAGTATCAATCCGAAGAAAATCAATTTATTTTTCCGATTTAAATAAGTAAATATTATATTTTGTATTCATAAAGATATTTTTTGCGTCTTTCTCTTGAATCTGACAATATTTCAAAAGAAAAGTACTATTGTGTAGTATAATATTGGCAGCAGATGTTGGTCGGGTCGAAATGGCATCAAAGTGCTTCTTATATATATTGAACGATTCATCATGGAAAATCCTTGAAAATGGGCAGAGATTCTAAAAAATTGTTCTAGATAAAATAGAATTATATATATATATATATATATATATATATATATTTATATATATACAAATATATACATATATAAATTGAAATGACAAAACTCTATTACCCTCCGTAACATAATCCTTTGCTCCACCGGCAAAGATGTCCCAATTAAGGGCATAAATATCTCCCAAAAGGCAAAGTGTTCGACTATTATTGTCGCCTGTAACACAATATCAAGACAAGGGTCTCACCTTTGCAAACCTTTTGGGACCCTTTCCCATTTTAGGAAATATGAAATTATCATTTCCATAACGGCGGGCGCAATTAATTTTTTGGGATTCCCGAAAAGGGTAATTTCGAGTGTAATCCTTATGTAAATCTTTAGTAGAGGAATGTAATTTGTTTTGAATGTGATACAGATGGTATTTCTTTTTGAGGCATATTCAGAGATTTTATACATAATGTAAAAGTTTATTGTTGTATACATATCTCATTTAAGTCGATTATTTGCATATATTAATAAGTTCATACAACTTGCTTTGTTCCAAAGGCATTTGGTTAGTATAAATACGAAAAATTTATAATCTTTTATATAAAAATGGTGCTCGATATTATGTCAGGTATGCTAATACTAAAAAACGGCTGAACCGATTTGGCCTTGAAATATTTGTGCTAATCCAGAGATTCTGGGAAAGATAACAACTTTATATTTTTAATATAAAATTTTTGTAGCATCATAATTTAAAACAATGAACCGAGGCTTACATGCCAAATGTTAAATGGTTTTGACTGATTCCACTAAAATAAAAAAAAGTAATTTTGTTAAGTTCATTTCAACTAAATTGGCTTAACGTATTTTTTTTAATTTAGGTAGATATAATTTAATATCTTTTAAATATTTATGTTTTTTTGTGGATGAATTATATGTAGTTGAACACCAGTTATGTTTGTTTATAAAAACACTTTTATTAGAATGTAAATTAGAACCTTATTTAAATGTAATTAAACATTTTCTGTGTTTATATAATAGTTGTTTAATTAATATTATTATTTGAAATAGTGATTTTAGATTCATTTTTAAATATTATTTTGAGGTGAACATTCCCCCGGACTTGAAATTATGAGAATTTCAAGTATATATGTTGTTAGTATAATTCATAAATGTAAGTTTAAACAATGCTCATAGAATTTAACTGAGCTATTGATATGTTTTTTGAAATATTTGTTACTTATTTAGATTAATTTACAATTTTTTGGCTAATTTATATTGAAACAATTTAAATAACTTTTATTTAAGTCTGTGGATTTTGCTCTGTTTTTGTCTCAAAATTTGTTTTTTATTAATATATTATACCCGCAGGTATTGTAATCGTTCAAAAATCAAAATTGAAATTTTTTACATTTCTCCACGTTTTGAAGGTTTCTGAACATTTTGGCATACCTCAGAAAAAATGGATGTGTGTGTGTATTTTGTATGTTCGCTATTTTTCGTCTACGTTTTCGGGCGCACGGATCAACCAATTTGAATGGTTCAAAAAACATTCGATTTCTGATTCGATAGGGACATGTGCTGATTAGTTTTTGGCAAAGGCAGGTCGAGCCGTTACAGAGATACAGAGCATAGAGCGCAGAAAATACAAATCGCGTTTTTGAGATAACGGAGTATCCGATTTGAATAATCTAAAGAACATTAAATGAGTAATGATTGGGAGAAGAGGTGATTAGTTTTTAGCAAAGGCGGATCCAGCCATTTCGAAGATACAGAGCTTAATGTGCAAAAAATAGCAGTTTTTAGAGAACAAAGCGTCCGATTTGATTCAAAGAACTTTCTGCTTGTGTTGACAAAATAATTGCTTTTGGAAAAAAAT